CTGCCCAATATCCTGCCTGCCTACCTACCCAATATTCTGCCTGCCTACCTCCCCAATATCCTGCCTGCCTACCTGCCCAATATCCTGCCTGCCTACCTCCCCAATATCATGCCTGCATACCGGCCTAATATCCTGCCTGACTACCTGCCCAATATCCTGCCTGCCTACCTGCACAATATCCTACCTGACTACCTGCCCAATATCCTGCCTGCCTATCTGCACAATATCCTACCTGACTACCTGCCCAATATCCTGCCTGACTACCTGCCCAATATCCTGCCTGACTACCTGTCCAATATCCTGCCTGACTACCTGCCCAATATCCTACCTGACTACCTGCCTAATATATTGCCTGCCTACCTGCCCAATATCTGTTGAGATGTTGTGTGCCCGTCATATACAACAATATGGTCATACGCACACTCCTAGACAAAAATAAGGTAAAAATGTGTCGTTTTTCCTCTTTTGATACTTTTTAACGCAAAAATAATCGTTTACCCTTAAAAACAACATGTTCTCCAATTCAGCAATACATCTCATTATATTTTTTTTACAAAGGAGTGATTATTTAAAAAAAAAATAACTATAAATGAAAAAAAACTGGGAATGAGAGGGAGAAAGATACTGAGAATGAGAGTGTGAAGAAACTGGGATTGAGATGGGAAAGATACCGGGAATGAGAAAGATAATGAGAATGAGAGTGGGAAAGATGCTGGGAGTGTGATGGGATAGATAGTGGGAGTGAGATGGGATAGATAGTGGGAATGAGAGTTACAAGAATGAGGATGAGGATAATAATGATAATTATAATAATAACAATAATACCTTCTTAGCAGGATAATAATCAGGGTAATGTGGGCTGGATATTTCTCCCCTGTTTCCAGAAATCTCATGCTAAAATCAGGAAATTTAAAAATATGTTTTTTGTTGTTTTTAATTTGAGCATTTAAAGAGACTCAGTTTGAAGAGACGTAATTTCTACTTTATATGTATACATGTCCTAAATTCATGTAGTAAAGTGTAGACCACTCTTGTATGCCGGGTCCATTAGTGCCTGATCCAATCAGGGTTCAGCCATGTGTTTGTTGTCTATTCTAAACCAATAGAAATTGCATGGCGGTAATATCTATCTTTCTATCTATGTCATTATCCAATTAGAGATAAATCCTTATATCGGCGTTACAACAGTAAATGGATATATTTACTTCTACTGGAACTATAATGACAAATAGTTTTAAGTGAGCCTCCATGTGCTGAGTGGTATGTCCGGATACAAATCCTTGTTTGAAAAAAGATAAATGATTGAAGATTATCATTGAGATTCAGACATAGCATTCTATAAATGGAGGGTCACTTATGTCTTCACTTTACTACAGTCATTTAAGATATTTACACATAAAGTAGTAATCCCTGTTTGGCTCTTTGTTTGCTTGCTTGTATCTCCGATCATAACTCAGGAAACCCTTTGACCGATTTGCCTCAAATTTTGATAAGGGAACCTTGGGAATGTTCTCAGCCTTGTTTGACAATTTTACTTGTTAACTTTTGTATAAAAAGTGTAATTCCGGACACAGCATGGTCCCCAAGTTAAAACATAAATTTAACACGCACCTCTGACCCTCTAGTAAAAGTAAATTCAACCTATATGAAGCATAAAGTCTGACCGCGTCAACCTTGTTGCACCGGCTAGTCCTGTCCATAGAGCTAGGTACAGTACAAACTGGGACCGGATAAGTTGACCCGGCTCGGAAATTCAAATGTACTACGGCACCCGTGTTAAAAGAGTTACATTGAATTTATATCACTAATATATATGCTTTGCTTGTCTGGGTGGGTGTCTGTTTGTTTCTTTGTTTGTTTGTGTCCAAAAAACGTCAAAACGGCTGAACCAGGCAGACGGGTCCAAATTTTTGTGTGAGACCTTACATGACCCTGCAGGGCAGGTGTATTAATAATCAAAACTTATATTATTCAAATCTTGATTGCGAAATTGCGAAATGTTTCTATCATTATACTTTATGCGCCAATTAGGTATTTCTTCAAGAAAACATTGCATTGGCCAAGAACTTCCCCCCTCCCCTTCCACAAAGAAAAATAATAATGATATAATAAAATATTCTAGAATTCTTAAAGTTTTTGTCTCTTTATGTTTAAAAACTTTGTAAATTTACATTTGACATGGATGTTAAAATTTATTCAGCTAATGAGTTTAAATGAAGGAACGTATGTTACATTTAAGTTCTTGAAGAAATATATTTAAAGCATTTTTTTTCCAGAGAACATCAAAGCTAAATATTTAATTTACTTTTTCTCAGAAACTCTTTTAAGGATCTCAGCTTTTAGTTTAAATAACATTCTTTAACTCTCGCTTTAAGTTTACTCTCCCCCCCCCCCCCACCCACACAGTATAATAATTATTACTACCCTGGTAACAGAATAATAATTTTAACTATCCTAGTAACCGTATAATAATTGCAGCTACCCTGGTAAAAGTATGATAATTGCAACTACCCTAGTAATAGCGATTACCCTATAGAATTAGTATAATAATAAAATCTATCCTATATAACAGAAAAAGTTGCAATTACCTATGTAATTGTAATAGTTGCAACTACCCTAGTAACACCATATTTATTGCAACTACCCTGGTCATAGTATAACAATTATACTGTCCTAGTAAAGTAAAAATTGCAATTACCCTAGTAACTGTAATAATTGCAACTACCCTAGTAATACCAAAATTATTTCAACTATACCCTAGTTATAGACGTATAATAATTATACTGTCCTAGTAACAGTAAAAATTGCAATTACCCTGATACCAATATAATAATTGCAACTACCCTTACACCAAAATAATAATTGCAACTACCCTGATAACAAAATAATAATTGCAACCTCTCTGATAATAATTGTTACCTTACATCCTCCCTCTTTACAATCGTGCCCGTTCTCATGCAGTACGAATCCCTAAACACAAACAATAATTATATTTAAAAAAATTATAAGTATCGGAAACTCCGGTGTCACGTTAAAAAATGTCCGGGCGTGAGGTAACTTTAAAGTTAAAATATTAATTTTTTTAATTCTTTGAGAGGAAAACGACATTCGAGGATTCTGAATGACAATTATTTAAATGAACCTGATGGCATGAACAGTAATATGCTCCAATAGTATTCCTACACACTTGCTGGCAACCACCGTTCTCTGTAGCACATTCATCCTAGACATTCATTTATTCATCCTATTCATCTTGTGTCACAGTCATTTATTCATTCATTATTTTCATTCATTCTTCCTTTATCCTTTGTTTCCACAAAACAGTAGATTCTCTTGAGCAACAGTTTCGTGTTTTTGAACGAAATTACTTTTTTTGCACGAAATTTTGCATCATTTTCATTTCAATACGAACCCAGGTTTGCACGAAATTGCGCATTTATTCGAAATAAATATTTTTTTGCACGGAATTTCGGATGAATTTTTGCATGATTTTGCGCATGAATACGAAAATAAGTATATTTGTTTCATCTCATATTGAACAAATATAAAAGATTTAAATATTTGGACAGTATGATGTGAATTAGTTTCAGTAAAAAAAACTTCCATATCTGCAGGTCTATTCATGAACAATAATTCATTATTACCATTTTCTATAGTCCAGAGTCCAGACACGGTCAAAATGTTGGTTACTTTCTTTAATAAAAATCTGTTAAGATAAATATGTTTAAAAACGCTAAAAATTTGCTACTGGATGTGCATATAAATATGTAAACATTTCTTCTGTTTGGGTGTCTGTTTGTTACTTATCTTAGTTGACCTTGCCTTGACTGTACCAAATTATCTTAAAATCATAAATGGTGACTATAAAATCTTAGAGGTGCGCGTGAGAGCGGGCCGGAGTAAAATGGGGCTCTGATAAGGTTTGTTTTGGATTCTTTCATTTCCTGGAATTGTTTCTCGAAATTTAACGAAATAGCTAAAAACAACGAAATAGCTCGAAATAACGAAATAGCAGAAATAACGAAATGCACAAAAACCAAGATTTTCTTCATAATTTGTGCGAAATAGCTTTTGCACATCACTGCGAAATTATATCAAAATTGTGTGCAATTTTTACTCGAAGCGTAAGAAATTTTATGCGCAATTATTGCACGATTTTCGTGCAAAAAAAATGAGATTGGAAACCTTACCTCACAAAAATAAAGGATATCGATCATCGATCCACCTCTGCACAAAGTCTACCTTATCTGTGAAGAAGATGGCAGCAAATCCATTTTTCTGAACAGAGTTGTCAGACAGAAATTCAAGGCGTAGACTGTTTCCTTCTGAGGTTATAACCTGACATAAATCAATTAATCAATCAATCAAATACTTTTAGCAACGCTTACAACTATGTTAATGTACTGATTTAATAATAATAGAAATAATGATACTAATAATTGTAATAATAATAGATAGTAATAATAAACGGCCCATAAAAAATTGAGTCTTTGCCACAAAACCAGATATTCTAATCCCTATATCTTTGCAACCAAATGTTGAAAGAAACAATACAATTTATAACATCAAATTTTAAAAATTGTAAAACAATTGGTTACAGTGAGACCCACAAAATTATGGAATAGGAAGACGACGTTTAGACTCAAGTTTTGGCTTCACGATAACAAAATATAGATAATAAAGATCTTACTAATCATGGTAGCATATTTCATTACACACATATTCAAATTTACGTAATTAGATGATTTTTAAGCTACTGGCAAAAACATTGCTTTATATAGCTATATCAAATACACATTAGATTACTTACATGTCTGCTACCTATTCCACATTTTTACGGGTACCCCTGTATGAGTATTTTTAAATAAAATTCTTTTTAAGCTGTTTAAAGTTTGTGCCCTTTTCTCCTTTATTGAAGCTCTTAAAGGAAATAAATTTCAACAAATCTTTCAAATCTGGAATATTTTAAATATTTTGAGGGAGAAATCTATTTAAGATTTAATCGCTTGCGTCTTTTAATCTTCATTCCTTTCTCAATACTCGATTTTTTCGGATATATTTCTCCATATCTCTAGAATTGGAGTAAATTTAGACATATTACTGAAAAAATGAATTAGAAACGAATTTTAAGGAAACTGATTACTTGACACATTCTTAGTTTGTCTTCCTTTAATATCTTTGCAACCTGATTTTATAGACCTTTGATATTAAAAGCATAGACTCTGTTAGATTAACTAATTACAATTTTTAATATTAAAGGTTAACACCATCAGGTTGCAAAGATATAGAGAATATAAAATTATAGTTAGTGACGTGTGTTTAATTCCTTTGGATTTTATCAATCCAAAATTGAAATTTTCTAACGTAACAAATGAGATCGTCTTTATTTTCTATAAAAGTTTTCGTGTTTAGAGAATTGAATTTGTGGAGCTTAGAAGTAATATATTCTCCTCTAGCTGAGAAACCGTGGAGAGCAGAGTCATCAATATCAATCCTGGGTTAATCCCATGCTAAACCTTCAAGTATAGGATACAAGATACTCGTACAGGATACAGGATACAGGATACAAGATACTCATACAGGATACAGGATACAGGATACAGGATAAGGATACAGGATACAGGATATAGGATACAAGATATAGGATACAGGATACAGGATATAGGATACATTATACAGAATTCAGGATACAGGTTACCGGATACAGGATACATGATACAGGATATAGGATACAGGATACAGAATACAGAATATAGGATACAGGATACAGGATACAGGATACAGGATACAGGATACAGGATACAGGATACAGGATACAGGATACAGAATACAGGATACAGGATACAGAATACAGGATACAGGATACAGAATACAGTATACAGGATATAGGATACACAATGCAGAATATAGGGTAAAGGATACAGAATACAGGATACAGGACTCAGGATACAAAATACAGGAAACAGGATACAGGATACAATATACACAATACAGAATACAGGTTCCAGGATACAGAGTAAATTTGATATCCATACCTTGCCTCTCCTGAACCCATTTTAGAAGATATCGCTAAACTGTCATATTCACAATCCTATAAAAATAGAATATATAAAATATACAAAATATACAAAATATATAAAAATAAATTTTTTTCCCGCCAAAAATACGTTTAACTTTTAAGGATCTGAAAGCCTTTCTTTTCGTGGCTATTTTTAAAGAATACTTTTAAAGAATTTTTAAAATTAGAATTTTTTATAAACGTACAGTGATAATTTTAGTACCACAATCAAAATTACATAAAACAAACCATCACCAAAACAGACATTACAGTTAATTTGCATAAAGTGACAACCAGAAAACAAAGGAATAGGAAGACGACATTGTAAGTATTGATGTTGTTACAAGCAAATAGTTTTTCTAGACACTAATTTAATCGCTAATTTAGTGAAATGTGTCTGTTGCTTAGTCTCATATGCTCCTTAGAAATTTTATATTATTTTTTGAATGATATATACTTTGGAGAAAAAACTCGGCGGGAGCGGTTGAACCAGCGGTTGAGATCTAGCCTAGACTCTACGCAGTTCAGAATAAGAAATGCATCTTTTTTGCTCAAATTTAAAATTTGTTCAGCCGCTAACTTTTCTGATTTCAACCGCTGGTTTTCAGATTTTTCAGAACTTTTTTGCTTTCAACCGCTGGTTTAAAGATTTTTCAGCAACCTTTTGCTTACAACCGTTTTCAGATATTTCAGCAACTTTTTTGCTTTCAACCGCTGGTTTAAAGATTTTTCAGCAACTTTTTT